GGACCAAAAACACTTCTTAAGCCCACAGAATCTCCTGATAGTAATAAACTATAGGCTTATTATCATCCCACAAAGGGTTTTCCCAGAATAAACAAAGTGAGAGTGTTGAATGGATCTCTACTTGTGTAAGACAAGCTCAGGAACCAGAAGGGTCTCCTCTATCTCAGTGGAGATGTCAATTTAAACCAGAGGTCGAGCTAAGATGATCAATTAATAATCAGCATCTCCATGTAGAGATGCAATAAATCAATGCATCTCTAGCGGGAAAGTTCAGCGCCTCCATGCAGAGCATGAAGATGCTGAATGTAGGTAGGAGACACTTTAGTGGCCGTTTGAGTGACGGCCACAAAAGGTGTTACAAGGCTACCTTTTCTCTGAAATGACACCAGAACCACTACATTAAGCTGTAGTGGTTCTGGCGAGTATAGTCCCTTTAAGAATTGTATGTTTGTCATTGTAAAAAAACTGGCTCCTAACTTTTTTAGCTGGCTCCTAAATTGAAAGCAAATTTGTCAAGCCCTGATTTAAATGAAGGACCATCCACTAGAACAGACATAGAAGTATAGACAGTGGGGGGTCTCAGGAAGTAAACAGGCAATGTGAACTAAAATTGATTGTAATGCCAGAGCAAACTGGTCCAGCAATGACGTTTTCTAGATGTAAAACTCACATGAGGCTGCTCGCTCTCCTAAACCTGCAGAGTCCATGGCTATACTGTAAGGAACACCAAAATGCAGAGCTTTAACAGAATAAATGTGTATTCCAATGCTTCAAATGGATGAGATAAAGGGATACTATAGTGCCAGGAATACAAAGCTATATTCCTGGCGCTATCATTCCCCCTGCCTCCCCCTCCCTCGCACACCCCTGCCGGGGTTAATAAAGTGTTAAAAACCCTTGCTTTCTTAGAGGCTGACTTAGTGCTGCAATGTAAACATTGGAATTTCTATAGAACTGTAATGTTTACCATTGCAGCACTAAGGGCAATAGGAACACTGCACACAGACCACTTCAATAAGCTGAAAAGAGGATCCATGAAGAACCAATTAGAGTTAAAATGTAACCGAGTTTCAAAAAGTCACAAGAATACAATTCAAACTCAAGTATTATGAGAGAACATAAGATTGAGGAAAAATTCTCACAGCATGGTATAGATTGCATATACACAATAATTATTAGTTTGCATCATTTCAACGCTACCAGAAGGTGCATTGACATTGCTACGAGAATGATGCCACAATAAGTGAGTCAATAAAATGACAGAATTACCGTCAATCAAAACCAGGCATCTTGGTATAGCTGGCTGTGACAGAAATGATGCCAAAATGACACACAGCATCACATCTAATGGAGTGAAGTCGGGAGAAAGGATCAGGTAATGTGATAGCTGGAGAATGTTTCTCAATCAACTATGTCGGCCTAAATTTTGTGATTCAATTTACAATTCACAATTTGGTTTATATCGAATAAAATCCTAATGTAGGGATATGACTTTGACATACCAAGCTACTCACAGCATAACTGCTCCAGACAGCCACTGATCATGAGCAGGGGTAACAGCAAGGCGTTAACTATTACAGATGCACTTATATACTTACACTTACGTTAAGTGTGTAAAATAGATTATATTCTCATAAAAATGTGTAAATTATTTCATAACCCCCAGACACAAAGTAGTCCTTACCACTGCCAACTGGTAAGGAAAAACAAACAACTAGGTTATGCATTCTAATAAGATAATGAGTTAGGAGGTTCTAGTCTATTGGGTACCAAATAGAAATGTCTTGTAAGTGGGGGAGGGTAATAGGAATACAGTATCAGAAAATCTGTCACACACACAACTGCTCTTATAGTGTGTCAAGCCCTGGAACTGCATGAATGAGACAGCTGGTGCTGTCAGAAATATCAGAATAAATTCAAAGCACAGTTCATTTAAAGTGTGTGTTTAACCAATTTATTCAAGGGGTAGAAAATCTGTGTCCCCCCTCTGCCTGGGAAGCAGTGCAAATCATTATTTAATATTATGTTTTAAGAAGCATTTTTTTAGAATCACATTTGAATCAATGATGGACTGTGTATTTAGATAACATGGGCACTGAATGTCACCTGGTACTACTCCTAGACTACCCTATGGCCAGTTCAGGTCTGCTTTAATGTGCTTTGAATAGTATATGTGGAACTGCACTCACTCCCACAAATGTGAGCCAGGGTGCTTGCTGAGCTGGAATCAAACACCAGATTTGAAAATATTAGTAAAGTAATAGAGGTCCAGGCATTCCTTAGTTCAAGACAGGAACTTTACTAGGTGATTTACTCAATCACCAAAACAAAAAAAGTGGGTGGCAGTACAAATAGTTGCTGAGTGTATCAAACAAATAACACATAAAATAAATAGTATGAGCTCCTCCCAGGTATCACTGAAAGAAATAAGTGCTAGTATGGCATGGAGGCACTGAACACTCCCCATAGAGACGCACTGATTCAATGCATCTCTATGAGGAGAGTCTGATTGGTGCAGAATGGCGTTTTGCCACACGTGCCCCTTAGGACCACAATGCTTTCCTATGAGATCGTCAACTGCTGCTCTCAGCCAAGGAGGCGGAGCAGGGGCGGAGCCAGCTGTGGCATACCAAACTTCGCTGGGGAAAAAAAAGGTAAGTTTGAATCCTTTTAAAGGGAGGTAAGGGGTGCCTGCCACTTAACATGTGTTTTTAACACTATAGGGTCAGGAATAGAAGTAAGAGAATATTTTCCTTATCTTTTATAGATAAATAATTAGTAGTATTGGTTGGAAATATATCACTTCTAAAAAAAGTGGGTTTTAGCCCTGAGACAGATAGAGAAAAAGTTTGTAGTGAATGATCAAGAGTGTTAGTGATGCAATGGTCAAATGTAAAAAATAACTTTTATTTCTAAGTTGTAAAAAGTATAGAAATTCCTGGAACTAGGATTCT